CCTGGAAAACTGCACACTAAATTATGATTATCTAAAGTTGTTTTTGGTTTTTTATAAGGATGTGAGATAGCTAGATCTAAATAATCTAAACTCATAAAGATAGTATCATCAGATAATAATATCAAAAGTAACAAAACAGTAACAGATAATAATATCAACAGTAACAAAAACAGTAATTGATAATAATATCAACCGTATTTATTTGACGTAGATAAATAAAGCAGATAAGTAAAGGATAGTTATATAAAAGAAAGCCAAATATTAACAAAAGACAAAGTAGTCAGCAAATGTTGACCAAATAGTAACCAATTTTGACCAAGCAATTTCTTACCAAGAAGACTAATTACGTAGATGAGAAAAGGTGGCAATTTACAAAATGTTGACCTTTAGCAAATTATATGACTTTTAGTCTGACACTAGAAGAAAATTTAGACAAGAAGATTTCTACTGCAATCTTAACAAACAGATATGAAGGAAAACTATAAGAATAACACGACTGACACGACTGACATAAATTAATGCAAAGTTGAATTTTAACACACCAAGCAGATAACTTTCGTAAAAGTAGATAGACTATGGTAAACAAATAAAACAAACAAACAAACTAGACAAGCAGATAGACAACTATCTTTGGCAAAGATTTTCATCTGTAAACTAGAATTTGTTCACTTTCTATACCACATACCCATATGTAAATGAAAAAGCTCTGATACCATTATATTTTCGATCCCTTTCTTTACCCATTAATTCATTATTTTTCCAAGTTTTTAAAAAACCAGTGACCCCCTATATATATATATATATATAAAAGGGTTGATAGTAATAACGAAAAACCAAATCTAAAACCGTAATAACGAAAAACAAAATCTAAAACCCAACCTCTTCAGATAACTATCTTCGCCACCTGCAGCTGCAGCTGCATCGTTTCTTTAATGCAATGTCACTCCGCTACCGTCCCGGCCCTCCGTCGGTCCCGCCTCTACCTGAGGAAGAACCCTTCAACATAATCCCAGTACACAATCTCCTCGCCGACCACCCCTCCCTCCGCTTCCCCGAGGTACGCGCCGCTGCTGCTGCTTTACGCGCCGTCGGAGACCTCCGGAGGCCGCCTTATGCTCAATGGCATCCCTCCATGGACCTGCTTGATTGGGTCGCTCTGTTCTTCGGGTTCCAGAGGGACAATGTGCGGAACCAGAGGGAGCATCTTGTTCTACACCTTGCTAATGCCCAGATGCGGCTTTCCCCTCCGCCTGATAATATCGATACGCTCGATGCTGGTGTGCTTCGGAAGTTCCGCCGGAAGTTGCTCAAGAACTATACGCACTGGTGTTCATATATCGGCAAGAAATCAAACATCTGGATCTCGGATGGTAGCCGGTCGAGTACTGATCAGCGCCGGGAACTTCTATATGTTGGGCTTTATTTGTTGATCTGGGGCGAAACCGCGAATCTGCGGTTCATGCCTGAGTGCATCTGCTACATATTTCATAACATGGCTATGGAATTGAACAAGATTCTGGAAGATTACATCGATGAGCATACTGGGCAGCCCGTGGTGCCATCGATTTCGGGAGAAAATGCATTTCTGAACTGCGTTGTGAAGCCCATATATGAAACGATACGGGCAGAGGTGGATAGGAGCAAGAACGGGACGGCGCCACACGGTGCATGGAGGAATTATGATGATTTGAATGAGTATTTTTGGAGCAAGCGGTGTTTTCAGAAGCTGAAGTGGCCGATTGAAGTTGGCAGTAATTTTTTCGTAAATTCTGGTTCTAATAAGCGCGTAGGGAAAACTGGGTTTGTTGAGCAGAGGTCATTCTGGAATTTGTTTAGGAGCTTTGACAGGCTATGGGTGATGCTGGTGCTGTTCTTGCAGGCTGCCATTATTGTTGCCTGGGAGGAGGAGTATCCATGGCAGGCATGGACGAGTAGGTATGTTCAGGTTAAGGTTTTGACAGTTTTCATCACCTGGAGTGGAATGAGGTTTTTACAGTCTTTACTGGACATTGGGACTCAGT